AAGGGAAGAGAAGGGACTTTGGCATGGCCATTCCCCAGGGAGGTGATTTCTCACTTTCCCTCTATCTGTCTCACAGGAGTGCACATGCCCTATAGCAAAAATTAAAAAAAAAAATAAATAAAGACCCTACTATGGGTCCCTATAGATTTATGGAACGGGACACATGAACAACTCCTTGGGGAAGGGGACAGAGGCTCAGCTCTGGGAGGGACCCTGGGTGGGAACCAGGGTCCTGAGAAGAAGCGAACATGGCTTGGCCCCATCTGTGTCTAAATGCCAGTCTACATTCCATCAAAGTTTAGTCACTACATCCATGGCCTTTAAGGACAATCCAAAGAGGAAGTACAGTGGACGGAAGCATTCCCTAGCCCAAGGCAAGAGTACAGCGGGTTCAAATCCCAGCTATTCTGCTAAAGTGTTGAGCAACTACACAAGTCTTTTTGCTCAGTTGGGGACTCAGTTTCCCTAACGCTGACTTCCAGGAGAAGGAGGAATTCTGTTCTCCCTCCTTAGGACTGCATTCAACTTCAACAGCTAGAACATTCTCAGATCTGATGCCTGAATGGACGCCCCACGTCTGATCTCACCCAAAGGACTCCATATGAATCGTACCAAAGGCATCACCCAAAGGACTCATATGTGAATCGTACCAAAGGCATCAGTTTCCATGTGGGTAAAACAGGATGGCAGCATCCCTTTGCCCAGGCACTGAGGATGGGCTAGGATGACAGATCTGGAGTGCTCAGAAGGACAGCTCAGACACTGCTCGGCTAACGACACTGCTAAGCATGCCATCGGGGCTGGTCAGAATGTCTGACACCCCCAGCTTCTGTGACACGGATACTGCCCTTGGAGGAGGCCCGTCACCTCTCTGAAGCTCAGTGTCTCACCTGAACTGGACCCCACCTCCCTTAGCTGCAGAGACGACCCAACGACTCAGGCAGCCTGCAGCAGGCAGCCTGTCACCCTGAACTCTTCAGGAACGGGAGCCGCCATCCCCAGTGTACCCCAGAAGCCACAGGACAGGGTTAGGCTGCACACACCCTAGAGGTCCAGGAAAGTACCCTGCTGACCCAGTCCGGATGTCACCCCAGAATGCACCAGCAAATTCCTGGAGGCAGGTGCTTCTCCTGGCCAGGAGGGCTGCTCTCCTTAGACATCTTGGTCTTCCTCCTTCCTCAGCCAGCACTCAGCTTAGCATCTGCTTCAAAGATGATGCATGGCGTTCTGAGAACGCAGGAGGTGAGCCGCACAGGCAGCCCAACGATGAGGGCATGGCGAGGGTGCTCAGGAGGGCTGGAGCCACGTCTGGTTCTGCCAGGGACAGGCCATGAGACCTGAGGCTGCTCAACTTCCACAGCCTCGGTTTCCTCATCTGTACAGCGGAGCCACACTGCCAGCTTCAGAGGGATGCTGTGATGTCTGGGGCGTTCGTCTTAAGGCAGGGCCTGGCAGGAGGCCAAGGGCATAAATGCCAGCTGTTAATTCCTCATCATCGCAAATGAGGGAATAATTAAATATTCCATGGCACGGCTAGAATGCAGCTAGATACAACCAAGGGAAAAAAAAGGATTCAGGACCCTGTAAAACATTCACGGTAAGATGCCAGATGATAAGAGGTCATCTGGGGCCCAGCAGGTGGCGTGGTGGTTAAGGTGTTGGATTCCTAACACGGCTGGCCACGATTCGAGTCTTGGATCTGGCGGCTTGCTTTCTCACTTTCTCTCTCTCTGATCAAATTTTTAAAAAATAATAATAAATAAAATTAAATAATTTTTTGAGAGTTTTTTTTGCTATAGGGCACGTGCACTCACCAGAAAGACAGAGATAGAAAGAAAGACAGAAAGCGAGAAATCACCCCCCAGGGGGGATGGCCATGCCACAGTCCCTTCTCCTCCATTCTCCTCTTGGGATCCTGGGCACGCACTCACATGTGCCCAGCATCAGTTTAAGTCACCGGATCCCGGACTCAAACCATGGTCAACTACATAGGAGTCCAGTGACGTAGCCATTTCACCAACTGCTGGTCCCCAATACTTAATTATTTTGAAAACAAAGGTTATGTGATCTTATTCTGGTACATATGTATGTAGGAAAAAAAAAAATCTCTGGGGAGAAACACCCTAAAACGTAAGCTGGAACTTTCTATCTTCCCTCTCACTTTTGGAATGTCCTAACAATTCAACCATGAACATATAATCAATGCAATGCAAAGTGAAAGAATGAGAAAATGAGGGCTGGCAGGTGGTACAGTGGTTAAGGTGCTGGACTCCCACATGGCTGACCATGGTTCAAGTCCTGGCCCTGGTGGCTTGTTTTCTCACTTTCCTTTTCTCTCTCTCTCTCTCTCTCTCTCTGGTCAAATTAAAACAACAACAATAATAACAACAAATAAAATAAAATAATTCTAAAAAAAGAATGAGCAAATGAAGTAGGATGATTTCTAGTTGTATTCCCTAACCTTGGAACCTTGAGCCCTGAGATACAGAGCCAGCAGCAGGCTTGGTGAAAGCTCCGGACCAGCCGAGGAAGGGCAGTTCAGCCGAGGTCACAGAGCAGGGTAAACGCACAGCCAGGCCTGGGTTCAGCTGCCCTGACACCCAGACCTGGCCCCTTCCTGTGCTCCCCGGGGCCGCTGCTGCTGGCATCCTGCTGGTTTGCTCTCCTAACAAGATGAAGTCCCCGGATAAAGTGTGCTTCTGGGCCAGCCCACGGCCCAGTTGTTACTGGCGCTGGATGCTTCCTGGCAGACTCAGTTCTGGTCCAGCTGTTAATGGCGCTGGATGCTTCCTGGCAGACTCAGTTCGAATCCTGGCCCCAGTGGCTTCAAAAACATACCAGCTACATGTGGGAGCATTCCCACACCACCCTAGGGGGTGTTCTCCCACCCCTATGGTAAGCACACACACCCTCTGGCAATATTAACAAAAAAGGAAGAAAGAAAAACAAAAAAAAAAAAAAGGAAAGGAAGAAAGACAGACAAACCGTGGCGCTGGGGTCCAGTTGCTGATCCTGGCTGAGTCGCGAGCTCTGTGACCTTGGGCAAGACACTTAATCTCTGAGGGCGTCAGTGTCCTCATTTGTAAAATGATCATACTAGGAGCAGCGCCATATGGCTTTTGCGAGGATTAAATAAGATAATGCATGTAAAGCGTTTAGTACCAGGCCTGGCAAACAGTGGGTGCTCTAGGACCTGTAATTATTACTATGATCAGCATTTGGACTCTAGCGACCTCACAGAGAATCCTCCCAGGACATACAATGCTAACCCAGCAAGCACGGAAGGGAAATGCAGGCTTTGGTAATGGGGAGCCACGGCAGGTGCCTGACCAGGAGAGGAGCAGCATGACTTAGAAGCCACACGGGGCTGGGAGCCAGTGCCACCCACAGAGACCATCTTTGCCAATGGGACTGCACATCTCTGGCCGGCTTCCCAGTGCCGCTGGGAAGAACAACACAACTCCCACAGGCAATGCCCCGCCGCTTCCTGCCTGTCTGGTGAACAGCAAGGGGGCAATTCACTGGGAGCCTTGAAACAGCCCACACAGCCTCAAGCCACAAGTGTGATAACCAGGAGCTTGGCCACAAGCCCACAGAGGTCGGGAGAAACAGCCCCTGCTGCATCGTCAGGAAGACTGGTTTCCGGTCAAGCCACCGTGCTGTATGACCCTGAGAAAGGCCTCTCTCTCTGAGCTCTACTGCCTCTGTACACACCACAGTGGTTCCCGCGTGGCACTCCCGGGACCTGCCCGCACCTGCTGATCACGGGGCACACCTGCCATGGTCAGCTTGAGGGGAGTCCTTCGCATCTGCTTTTCTTTTTCCAGTTTTTTCTTCATTCCAGATAGAGCATGTGCATAGCACGTGAGGAGTGGGACACAGAGAGGTGGTCACAGGGTCTGGTCAGGCCACAATCCCCTTCCTCCCGTCCCCCACCCCGTCAGATCCTGTGCACTCAGGGCATGCCTGGCATGTTTCGGGCTGACCAGGCCCAGGATTAGAAGTACGGTTGCCATATGGAGTTAGCACCACAGAAACAGCCCCAGGTCTGCTTTTCCTACAAGGTCAGGGCCAAACGGGCATGGGAATGGGAATCACGGAGGGTCTTGCTCTCCCCCTAACCGTCCTTCCGTCTTTCCATCCATCCTTCTCATCTTCCATCCACGCTGTCGTATCGCACTCATGGTGCTCAACTGGGGGGGCATTTTGCCTCTCAGGGGACAACAGGCAATGTCTGGCAATAGTTTCGGTTGTCACAACCAGGGTAAAGGCCAGGGTTGCAGCTAAACACTCTGCAACGCCAAGGTCAGCCTCCCGTGGCTGCAGTGTCAGCGCCGTGGCTAAGCAGGCCCGGGTCCTGCCTGCACAGTCCACAGGAATTTGCACAGCTCGCTCAACACGAGGTCCTCCTGTGACAGCCTCTGTGTTCCATCGCCAATAAACACTGCTTGAGCACCTACTATGTGCCAGGCCTGTTCTAACACCGGGAACACATTGGTAAATAATGCAGGCCAAGCTCCGGCCTCAGAGGGCACAGCCATCCTCACAGAGGGCAAGACACGTCAACAGGCAACACCCCAAGGTCGCCCTCCCTCTTGGTAATCACTCCAGAGCATCCCACACAGGCATGGCACGCTGTTCAGCCAGTCAAGGCCATCCTGACGGACATTTACACTCTGTTCACCTCTGACATAATGACATCCCCATCACCAAGGAAATGCCTCCCTAGGCCTATGGGTGAGACACCCCAGAGCCTCGCTAGGGTCTAGCGAGCTGCAGGCTCACCAGAGAACTTGCTAGCCCCATCCCCAAGGTCCCGGATAAGCATTTTAAGCAGCCCCAGGCAGCAATATGCACCCTAAAACTGGAGCAGCACAGCAGGGAGCTACCTAAGGGGGTCTGCCGGCTCTGGGGCTGCTGTTTCTGTTTCAATAGATGTTGCCAAAGTGCCTTCCAAAAGCCCTCCCGCCAGCAGTCTGCAAGCCCCCTTCTGCACTAACTTCGTGTTGCCGGATGTTGCTATTTTTGCCAAGCTGACGATGCCTCCCATTTTCCAGATATGGAGACTGAGGCTGACTGCGGTCTCTCGACAACCAGCACCAGGAACCGACCACTTCTAAGACCTCTTGCGGCCTGTCCCAGCTCGGACTTTCAGAATCTGGCTGCAGCCGCAATGTTCGTGCCAGCTTCCTGCCCAACCACTCTGGCTCTCAAAAGCTGCTTGGAGCAGGAAGGTGGGAAGGAAGGAGCGTTCCTGAGGGAGGAGACAGGCTGGCGAGGTCGCCCCCGTGCCCATTCAAGTCCAGTCATGCAGGACAAACAGCCAGGCTGGTCACTGAGCAAGCTGGCACCACCATGGACAATGGGTAACGCCAGGAGCTGGGGGGAGAGTGGGACCCCGGCTTTGCTCTCACCTGTTCCACCTCTCGGCCTCGGTTTCCTCCCTCTACGGATGGGCTCAGACCCCACACCACAGAAGGCGGCTGCCTCATGAGTCCATCAGTAAGCAAGCACACCGTCTACAGCCTGGCCTTGGGCTAGCTCAGCCTATGATGGCCCCACAGCAGCTGCCTGTGGTCACCACCGTCATCCTCCCCACTTGATGGACAAGGAAAGTGAGCTCAGAGATGCAGCGCCCTGCCCTTGATCCAGCACCCACGGAGGGGGCAGCCTTGAACTGATAAAGTCAGCAGTCAATATCTCCAGAGCTGTGTGCCCCAGGACAGCAGCGTCACATCTCTGAGCCTCAGCAGGGAAATGGGGACACAGAACAGAGACCAGGGAGGGGAAGCCACCTTGCAAATGTGACAGACCCTATCCACACCTCCCTGCTGTGGCTCTAAACTGCCACCACCAAGACACCCAGCCCAGTAGGACATGTCGCCTGGGCATCTCTGACCTTCCCCGAGCTCTCAGTGCAACCTGAGTAAGGCCCTGCAAAGCTGGCAGCAGCCCCCCAAGAGGGACACTACTTGCTCAAGGTCACACAGCTAGTGAAGTGGAGAGCAGGACAAGGCAGTGGGAAGTAGGGTGTCCTACCTGGACGTGATGCAGGCCACAGCTGAGGCAGGAGGTGGGCCAGGCTGGAGCCGGCAGCTGTCTGCATTGGTGGCCTCCAGAAGCTGGCAGGCCCACAGTGGCCAAGGTCTCACCTGCTAGCCCTGAGCTGTGAGGCCTCTTTCTAGGATCGGTCAGCCCGGGAGGGGCCACCTCCCAAGGCTCCTCCCTCCCCTGGCCCCAGCCTGGTTGCTCACCCACCTCTGGATCATCTGGGGTTCTCTCTGTGGCAGTAGCTCAAGTCTTCTAGGTCACAAAGCCTTCCTATGAGCAGAGAATGCAATCACACCACCCCCCATGCGTAAAAACTTCCAGGACATTCTAGCTCCGCCCCACGGAGGATAACAGCACCACCTAACAGAAACCCCACGTGAGTCACACCTGGAAGTCTCAATTTTCCAGCAGCCATGTTAAAGCAGTAAATGCAAAACAACAGATTTTATTTAATTCAGTACTTACAAACTATAACCATCAACATAAAGGTGATTGTGGTATTTTACATTCTGTATTTTTTTAGGATTTCTGTCTTAGGGTGTGTGCGCTCACCAGAGAGAGACAATGAGAGGGAAAATGAGAAAGCGCCCCCAGGGGGGATGGCCACGCAATCCCTTCACCTCCCGTCTCCTCTTGGGATTTTGGGTACACACGCACATGTACTCGCTGTGACATTCAAGACACTGAATTAGGACTCAAACCACGGCCAACCAACCATGTGGGAGTCCAATGCCTTAACCACTATGCCACCTGCTGCACCTCCCGCCTTTTTATTTTTTTTAACTCTCAAGTCTGGGGCCAGCAGGTGGTGTGGTAGTTAAGGTGCAGGATTCCACATGGCCGACCACGGTTTGAGTCCCAGACCTGGCAGCTTGAAAATCACTCCAGGTACATGTGCATGCATGTCCCAAATCCTAAGAGAAGAATGGGGGAGAAGGGGTTGCAGGGAGGCCATCCCCTCTGGGGGGTGATTTCCTCACTTTCCCTCTATCTCTCTCTCTCTGGTGAGCTCATATGCCCTGTAGCAAATTAAATATTATCAGTAAACTTTAAAAAATTAAAAACCAATGATTTAAAATACATATATATTTTATACACACACACAGCAGTGGATATATATATCCATATGAATAATTTTTTAAAATACACCATGTCACCATGGGAGAGTAACTTGGAACAATTCCTTTGGAAAACACTCTGGCATAACTGCAACAAACGGTGAGTGAGCACCTTCCCGACGACCCAGAAATAACCACTGCTAAGTAGATGCCCATCAGAGATGCATTCGGCTGTTCACCACACAACACGATGTTCCCAGCAGCAGTCTTCCTGAGAGGCCCCAAGTGGACGCCACCCAAACACCCATTCACAACAGAATGGACGTCGGGGGTACGGAGGGGGCTGGCTAGAGGGGACACACGGGATCTAGGGTGGGGGGGTGAAGAGGGTGCTGGGCACGTTCTCTTTTGCTCTGGGTACCGCCACGCAGGCACTTTCATCTTCTGAAAATTCACCGCCCTTAGGCACGACGTGTGCACTTTCCGTGGCCACAAAAACAGTTTCAGGACCTGCCTTATGTTAAACACTGAGGGATGGTGTTGCTGGCCGGGGCACCCGCCGCCCGCACACCTCTGCTGGCTGTTACTGCAGCCAGACACAAGCCTCCATTCATTCATTCATTCAATCAACACCCACGGGTGGGCGCTCTCCCAGGACCAGGCTTGGTGCCGGACGCCAGGAACATAAAGGTGAATTGAACCGTGGAGCCCACACTAACACACACACACACACACACACACACACACACACACACACCGGAGATCTGGCACGACACCTCCCAGCCCCACACTCAGTAAATGAGCGACTGGGGTTATGATCGATGCCAAGGAGGTCATGTCTGCTGGTCTTCCTCTCCCTGCCACCCCCCAGCAGGAGTGGACAGGAATTTTCCGCATGCTGGGCCAAACTTGGCCTCTGGCATGGGTCATCAGGGTTTCATCCTACTTGTTTCTGCTGCCCTCTCTCCTCCCTCCTGTCTCCGAGACGCTGGCACCTGAGTGACCCACCAGGCTGATGGCTCCTGGATCGTCACATCTAGTCTTTGTCTCTCTCGACTCCAGGCCCCTGTGCCAGCCGTCCCCTCCGTAACTCCGCTGGGGTGTCAAGCCTGGTCTACCCCATGCCAGACTCTGCTGCAGTTGGCACAGCCCCACTTCTTTCTGTTCACGCCCAAAGCCCTCAAAACAACCCAGATCCTCCTCTCTCCCACCCTAATGCAACCCAGCAGCAAATCTTGTCAATTTCCCCCTGAAAATGGAGCCAGAATCTTCCACTTCTCCCCACCCACACTGTTGGGCATTGGTAAGTTCTGGGCACCCACTTCTTACCATCCTGGTCCAGGCCTCTCTCACCTCTGGCTGCATGAGCAGCCAGAGTTCTTACGCCAGTGGGAGTTGGGCCCACCTGGGCTCTGAACCCTCCCATGGCTCCAACCCAACAAGCTCAGCCCCACCACTCACTTGTAGCCCCACCCCTCCCCCTTGCTTTCCTCTCTCTTCTCTAGCCACACTGTCGCCCTTGCTGTTCCTCACATGAGCATGCTCCCTGCTCAGGGAGACACCTGCTGCCTGCAAGCCCCTTCGACCATCAGCTCGCTCCCTCACCCCTCCTGTCCCTGCTCCTGTTCCACCTTCTCAAGGCCTCTCCTGATCACCATTTAATACAGCAACCTGCGCCCACCAAGGTGGCACTCCAGACCCCCCTTTGCCTACGCGATTGTCCTTTTGTCCCCAGCACTTAACACTTTAGAAGGCATCACCATTCTGTGTTGTCTAGGGTCCCTGAACGCTCCGTTCACTGAGTGCAGAGCAGTCGGTGCTCCATAGTGGTTGAATCCCGTTCTCACAGCACTGCTCCTGGGCCCACGTGATCCCAACCTGCCTCTCGGCCACACAGCAACCATGAAATACACAACTCCCCACTTGTTTATTTATTTATTTTTTTTTTTGGAGAGATTTTCACTGTAGGGCGCGTGCGCTCGCCAGACAGACAGAGAGAGACATAGAGACAGAAAGCGAGAAATCACCCCCCAGGGGGGATGGTCACGCCGCAATCCCTTCTCCTCCATTCTCCTCTCGGGATCTTGGGCACGCACGCACACGCGCCCGGCGTGA